GAGCAGTTTCACTGAACTTGGTCACAGCCCTTTTTTTTTTTCCCCCCCAAGATATTGTGAGCATGAAGTCATATATTTGCACGTCTCTTGAGACCTTGAGCCACTCACTCAGTTTATCCTTATGAATCTATGATTTTTTTTGAAGATTTTTAACTGCAATCTCGAGTTAGGCCTCCCTGATAACAGCCGTGCTGTTTTGAATATAATCCTTCATATCTTAGCATGAAGAAGACTCAATAAAAAAGTCTTGCTATACCTGTTAAAAGCAGAGCTTCCCTCAATAACTCTATATGGTCAGGTTCCAATGGGAACATTTTGGCTTTTATTTGCTGTCAGATACCTAACGCAATATTAAACTACAGAGGGAGACCTCGTAATATTGGCAAGTTAAACTTCCATTGTTTGCATAGATATTTAACTATTCACCTACTTGTAGAGAGGAGAAGTAATGTTTTCATGCAAAGATACTCTTCATATGAAACTTGAAGGCGGGATAGCTCTCGGGCAACCATAAGCATATGTTTGCATTGTTCGTACATACAGGGTAGATTCATTCTCTGCCTGAGAAACAAGAGCATAAAATTAGTTAAACGTCTAGATCTCTAAAAGTCTAAATCTAAATTTTTCCATGCTTCATCCTAGAGCGGCGGGGGTTGTAGCAGCAGATGACAAGCTTGTGTTTCATCTCTCTTACAGCAAAAGAATCTTCAGTTTTCCCCAGTGAACTCATTTCGAGCAAGTGTCTTGGTCACCACACACAAACAGTGGCCTAGAGAAGCAACGACTAGCGTATGAGGTATTCAATCCCAGTGTTACAAAAGAAGCCTGTCTTCAGCAAGGACTGATCAGTAAGCGCTGTCTTTTGTCAACGGACACTTTGTGAGAGTTCATCACAAACTTCATGCAAAAATCAAGTTCAACCACTGTTTGATATAATTCTCCAAGTCTGGCAGTCCCCAAGTATTCAAGGGTTTAAAGCCATTACCATGATGAAATGGTACACTTACACTAAAGACGAGTGTTTTCTCTTTTTTCTAAATCTCCTCAATACCTTTGAGAATTCCACCTAAACTTAACACGTATTAGCTCACTAACGACAACATCGGCTTTTCTTAACTTCCCTGTTTTCCAAGTGACTTCATTCTTTCACTTTTATCTTTTTACGTTCTTAAAGAGAAGCTCATTATTGCAATTAAGTTTCATTACCTGCCTAATGTAACAATGAAGTTTCTAACCACAGCTAGAAAGGAATGTCAACAACCAAAGGAAAATCCTGGAAAGCTGTTGCTTGGAACCAAGATGACAAACACCATGTATTTATAGATTTACTTTCCTTTTAGTTTTTCCCCTTCTAATGAAAGCCTGCATTGAGATAGGAATTCCTCTTTTTGTTTATTACCTCAGCTGAATTAACAATTCTCTTTACATGTGCTGTTATAACTGGCTTCAGTACCTACTGCAGGACTACAATTTTGGGTAGGAAATAAGCATCAAGGCCAGATTAATTCTGAAGGGCCTAAGAGATTTATATACAATAATACAAAATTTTCCATATGAACTGCTGGAGAGGAAAGGAGTATGCTTCAGATGTAGCCATTATCCAGTCTCGCTACAGTGATGCCAGCAATTTATTTTTCTTTAATGACGTGTCACCTCTTTCAAAACACCTATTCAATGTTAGAATCTTAAAAAGAACAAAACAAAACAAAACAAACAAACAAACAACTCCCCCCCCCCAAATCCACTTAAAGCCCTGTAAAAAAATCAGAGTAGGGTTTAGCTATGAAATTGCACCAATTCCTCCACAGATGCTATAATTTTTCAGTTCCCCCTTCCTTAGCCCCACACAAGAGTTACGTATTATAACCTCAGAAGCAGGCTGGAAAGCATCATAAACCTTACTAAAAACAAGCATTAGTACAAGTCTAGAAAACCCATCATTTCCGACGGACAACTCTTTCTGAAGTATACTAGCACTATCTGTGGCACTACCCTACACACGAATGGTACCTACGGCTATACACACGCATGCACCGACTTGAACCTAGGGCATTATGTTAAGTTCAATCATCAAGGA